CTGAGGCTGAGGCAGAGGCAGGCTGAGGCTGAGGCTGAAGCTGAGGCAGGCTGATGCTGAGGCATGCTGAGGCTGAGGCTGAGGCTGATGCAGGCTGAGGTTGAGGCAGTCTGAGGCTGAGGCCGAAGCTGAAGGCAGACTGATGCTGAGGATGAAGCAGGCTGAGGCTGAGGCTGAGTCAGGCTGAGGCTGAGGCAGGCGGAGGCTGAGGCTGAGGCAGGCTGAGGCTGAGGCGGAGGCAGATGCAGGCGAGGCTGAGGCAGGCTGAGCTGAGGCCGAGGCTGAACGCAGACTGAGGCTGAGGGCGAAGCAGGCTGATGAGGCTGAAGCAGGCTGAGGCTGAGGCTGAGGCAGGCTGAGGCTGAGGCTGAGGCAGGCTGAGGCTGAGGCAGGCTGAGGCTGAGGCTGAGGCTGATGCAGGCTGAGGCTGAGGCAGGCTAAGGCTGAGGCCGAGGCTAAAGGCAGATTGAGGCTGAGGCTGAAGCAGGCTGAGGCTGAGGCAGAGGCAGGCTGAGGCTGAGGCTGAGGCTGGCTGAGGCTGAGGCTGAAGCAGGCTGAGGCTGAGGCTGATGCAGGCTGAGGCTGAGGCAGCCTGAGGCTGAGGCCGAGGACGACGGCAGACTGAGGCTGAGGCTGAAGCCGGCTGAGGCTGAGGCTGAGGCAGGCTGAGGCTTAGGCTGAGACCGGCTGATGCTGAGGCAGGCTGAGGCTGAGGCTGAGGTTCATGCAGGCTGAAGCTGAGGCAGGCGGAGGCTAAGGCCGAGGCTGAAGGCAGACTGATGCTGAGGTTAAAGCAGGCTGAGGCTGAGGCTGAGGCAGGCTGAGGCTGAGGCTGAGGCAGGCTGATGCTGAGGCGGGCTGGGCCTGAGGCTGAGGCTGATGCAAGCTGAGGCTGAGGCAGGCTGAGGCTGAGGCCGAAGCTGAAGGCAGACTGATGCTGAGGCTGAAGCAGGCTGAGGCTGAGGCTGAGGCAGGCTGAGGCTGAGGCTGAGGCAGGCTCAGGCTGAGGCAGGCTGAGGCTGAGGCCGAGGCTGCAGGCAGACTGAGGCTGAGGCTGAAGCAGGCTGAAGCTGAGGCTGAGGCTGAGGCAGGCTGAGGCTGAGGCAGGCTGAGGCTGAGGCTGAGGCTGAGGCTGGGGCTGAGGCTGAGGCTGAGGCGGATGCAGGCTGAGGCTGAGGCTGAGGCAGAGGCAGGCTGAGGCTGGGGCTGAGGCAGGCTGAGGCTGAGGCAGGCTGAGGCTGAGGCTGAGGCTGAGGCAGGCTGAGGCTGAGACAGGCTGAGGCTGAGGCCGAGTCTGAAGGCAGACTGATGCTGAGGCTGAAGCAGGCTGAGGCTGAGGCAGGCTGAGGCTGAGGCTGAGGCTGAGGCAGGCTGAGGCTGA